TTATTAAATCGAACTTGTGGTCAGATGTATTACCGTGAATCACTAGTGCATTTAAAGTGTTGTTTTGTAGCATATCTCTGCGTTGTTCATATATATTTTTTTTCAGATTTCTGTATTTTTTTTATTAAAAAGCATACTAAAACTATTGCACTGTATAACAATAATATGGCTAAATTGTTCAGTTTAATTTCCCTTTGAAGTAAGTGAAGGTCTTATTTGATGTCACAATGATTTAGTAATAATGTACTTGTGCCATGCATCTTGTTCATATACAATTTGTAAAGTTTCAGTAAATTATAAACTTTATAAAGCTGTGCCTATAAGGCTTTCACCAATCGTTGAAATGAAATTCCAACACTACGATTTTGAACCTAAACTTAATCTTTAAACTCGTTTCCTCAAAAAATGGCAACGATTTGGAAAAATATTTTGTGCTATTATTTATCATTTATCATGTCAAACTCCAACTACCAAAGTGATTGCAATAACACGGTCCCAAAATCGACATTATATGAGTTCATTGTTTTGGTTTCTGTAGAAGGTTTAATTTAAAATGATTTTACATAGGAGGTCCAGCAAACTGGACCTCCTATTAGCTTTTATAAAATTTAATAAATATTTTTATTCCTGATCTGAAGAGCTTAATCTACTGTCAATAATATAATATGTAATACGAAAAAATTTTTAAAATATTATTAAACTTTATAAAAGTTGATGGGAGCCCCAGAGAGTGATTTGTGAGCCTCGCTATCTTATCAACATTTACTTTTTTCTGCCTACATTTATATACATTACAAATTAAACTAAGCAAAACTGACATTTAAGGATGAAAAATTTTCGTGCATTTTGACGCCGTTCTGTCTTCTTATTTTTTTGTGTGCAAATCTATGAATTTGTTTTGCTCAAACACTACATAAAATTCATTATTTTTTTATCCATAATGTTAAATGTGTTAAAATTACTCAACTTTTTAACAAGAAAAATCTCAATTTGACGTTAAAAATTGCTACAAAACATTGTCGATTTATTTAAGATGTAATGATCTATTATGACATATCTCTATTTTGGATTTAGATACATTGTATTTATTTTCAATTTTTCTAGTTGAATTGTTCACCTATATTGCATATGATCCATTATTGTATACAGTTAGGTTACAATAAAATGCGTATTTTATTTAAATACTACCTTATGAAAATTGAGATGTTGTAGAGTGTGGGGGGCCGTATCATATATTCGGTGGGGGCCCTGTTGATAGCGAAATAAGTTTATCGGTTTTATCACCAGAAACACGTAATTCCTTTCATACCAACCTATAATCAAATTATCATTGTTGATTGAATTATTTTATAGAGATCTGTGTACATGCTCGGTGAAAGTGCCAATTCTTTAAATACTATTATAATAATATGAAGAATACTTGAATTCCTAACCTCCAACGTTAAAGTTCGAGTAAATATTTCGTTCGTGATGAGAACTGTATCATCCGTATGCTTGTAAAATTTGCTGTTTCAAAGAATATTAATGCCAAAGTGCGAATTCAAGATGGATAGACATTGTTTTTGATGACTTCAGTTGATGGATCGCACAGTAGAAGGGGGAAGGCTGCTTCGCAACAAAAGCTCTTTGACATTTAATCGTTGTCCTTGTTCTCATCTGTTTGCGCCAATCTGTGATGACTCTTGTAAATATCACCACTTTCAATATTGGTCATATCAGACGACAGAATAAGCCGTCCGTTCGATATTAAAAAAGCTCGCAATAGTTGAAAAAAAAAAGAAGAGGAAAAGAGAGAGACTAAGAAAAGGAAGAAGACAAAAGAAGAAAAAATAAAACAGAAAGGACGAAAGAAAGAGCAGCAAGATAGGTCAAAGAAAAGATAAAACAAAAAGAAAGAAAAGGAAAAAACACTAAGAAAAGATTAAAAAAAAAAGTATTGAGAAAAAAATATTAAAAATAAGAGAAACAAAAAAGACAAAAAAATGGGAGGAAACAAAGAAAGAGATGCAAATAATGAAAAAAAGAAAATCGAAAAAGAAAGAAATTAATTAATGGTTAATGATAATGGTGAATATTTTTTATTCATTTGGTGTCGCTTAGCATGCAATCGATTAAAGATTTAGTGAAATATTAATAGTCTTTATGAATCCTTAAAGATACCCTGACAAATGCAGAAAATGCCCTTGAAAATTGTGAAGATTTTTTTGCATTTTTTACAAAAACCGTAAGTAGAGAAAAACAAAGGAAACCGCGCTAAACAGCTATGTAATATCAACTTTGTATATAACGGTGAATACCGGAAAATGTTCTCGTAGATGAAGAAGAGACTTCAGGCAACAGACATGTGGTTCTATAGAAGGATGTTGAAAATAGCATGGGCAGAACATGCGAATAACGAGGAAGTTTTATAGAAAATGGAAACAAAAAGGACACTTGTATTTAGGATAAAAAGAGAGACCGTTGAAATTTCTGGGACACATAACGAGGAAAGAGGGCTTGGAGAATTTGACACTCACAAGACAAATTGAAGGCAAGAAGGGTAGAGGGAACATTGAGTAACCTACCTGACAATCTTGTATAAATGAATAGCAGAACATGGACTGGGGGTATATCAAGGGAACACATATTGATTAGAGCAGAGGTTCTCAACCGGGGTCCATGTAACATTACTGGGGTCCACATACACAAAAATAGCAAATTAGGTGTCCACAGTAATATTTTAGGGGTCTATAGATAAATTTCACTTCGGAACGATTGTTACAACTGAGAATTGGTATTTCTACAGCAACCTACGCCATATTGAATTACTAAAAATAGAAAAACAACACTAAAACTAGCAGAAAACGAAATCAAGCGATGTAAGCATCTCTTTTACTCTACCGGACATTTTACTGTAAAAATTGAAAAAAAAAACAAAAAACAAAAAAACTGAATAGCATATATAAAGGAAGGATTATATATAAAGGAAAATTAGATAAACATTATAATATATTATATAAATTAAATTAATATATTAATAATAATGTTTAATATTCATTTTAAATATTAATAAAATTAAATTAAATGCTACTATATTAATATAAATTAATTAATATGAAATATCAAAATAATAAAACGTTAATAATAAAATCAATTTAATATATAAATTATATAAGGATTATATATAAAGGAGGGATTAACAGTATTAATCTCTTCAGCAGCAGGAGCAATTTCCAACAAAGCCATCCACTCTGAGGGCCTATATATGTGCTAGTGTACATAAACGTTTCATAGAATTTACTTGTTAATACAAATTTATTTTCATTAAATTTGTTTTACTACAAAATAAAGCATATATATTTACTATTTCTATAATATAATTCCTAAATTTATCTATTAGTAAAAAAAAAAAGCTTTTATTTCATCGAATGGTTATGGGGGTCCATCAAAAATAAAAAATGGTCGATGGGTAAAAACAGTTACTCTATATAATAAATGTAAATGTCAGTGTGTCACTGTGTCGCACTTTTTCAATTAAAGGGACATAACTCTCTAACTTTCAATAGCTCATGTTACAGAAATGTTGGATTCCCAAGTTTTCATTACTGCGATTGTTTTCGGTGATTTTTTTTTGCAACGAATTTGTTTGTACGATATCAATTTTTATTATTCGGAAATAAATTTGAGAATAATCGACATTAATTGCGAAATCCAGTGAAAGTCACCCAATCAACTCCAAGCGCCTTTTTAAGTTCTTTTCTCGCTTTATTAGTAGTAAGAAAGGGATAAGGAAGATATTTGCTTGATATTTGAAAGTTCGCACTAGTTGGAAGAGATAGAAATAGACAGAGAAACGGAAAAATGAATATTGCAAGTGCGTGATGACGGAATGAAAAACCTCCCGTTTTCTTTTTTCTTTAAATTTACTGCTAACTATAAGAAGATAGAATTTCTGGCTGTGAGCAAGAGAGGTCGCCAAAGGTGTGAGTTTAGAAATGGAAACACCAGAATCAAACAGGTATATGAAAAATTTGGTGAGTATAGAAACAGTCGACAGAAAGTATGACACAAGAAATCCAAAGGCGCATCGGAATAGCGTAAGAAGACTTCTAGAACCTAAGAAAATTATTAAGACATCGGAAAATTACGTTAGGAAAGAGTCAAGAGAAGTGAACTGCTATGTTATATCTATCATTTTATCTGACAGTGAACGATGTATAATTTCCTTACAACTGAAGAAGAGATTCGAAACGATAGCGAAAAATACCAGAATACTTGAGCAACGAAGAAGTTCTAAAGAAAATAGGGACTAGAATGACACTTATAGTTAAAATGAGAAAGGGACGATTTTTGAGATTTGAGTTCTACAGGTGGATGCTAAGAATATCATGGGCAGAATACGTGAGCAACAAGGAAGTTCTGAAGAAAATAGACACTAGAATGACACTTATACTTAAAATAAGAAAGAGACGGTTTTTGAGGTTTCGATTCTACAGATGGATACTGAGAATATCATGGACAGAACATGTGATCAACGAGGAAGTTCTGAAGAAAATAGGTACTAGAACGACACTGAAATCTCTGCAGCACATTATAAGGAAAGAGGGTTTGTAAAATTTAACACTCACAGAACATATTAAAGGAAAGAGGGACACGAGAAAACCTCGATTAACCTATCGAATAAGTTTGAGTGAATGGTTGGCAGAGTGGAGATATATGGGTGTGGTAGAGTCAAATGTTGCACAGAACAATAAGGGACACGAATCTGTGGAGAGCCATGATCGCCCGTGGCCTGAAGTGACTCGTCACATAAAAAAAGTGAATCGCTAACAAATCTGTTGATAAACACTTGTTCATATTCAAACTTTTTCCTATGATAAAGTGCTTATTTCTCGTCTTCTTTTAAACTTTCTTATTTTAAAAGAATTCAACTTATAAATTCCGCCATTGATAAAACATAGTGGTAAGACACTACATCACTTTTTTAAATCGCCTGGTGTGGCCGTAATAACGATTAACGAATGTTTATCTATCTATCTATCTATCTATCTATCTATCTATCTATCTATCTATCTATCTATGTGCTCGTAGTCCTTCCACATGTCGTTCTTTGTTTTCCTCTTTTCCTTCAGGGACTCAGGTCAGTGATATGTTGCAGCTATTGTTTGAGTTTTGCCATAAAATGTGGCCGGTGAATTTTCATCTTTTTTGATGTACTTCGAGGTTCTTGGATGGCACTTTGGAGCAGTTTCACCGTTTAACGAAATTGTCTCATAGATTATTATTATTATTAATAATAATATTATTACTACTACTACTACTTTAGCGAGTAGAATCCTCTCTGGGTGTCCCTCATTTGTGCCCGAGCAGTACTAAACTAAACTTGGTAAATATCGATACAAAAACCATCGTACTATCGAAACTGCGACAAAAATTCCCGTCGGTCTCAGTTGAGTTGAGTGATAGAATTACAGTGGTGAAAATTCTCATCATGCACAGTTGTGATGAACCATAGAATGCAAATGCCAAGAAATACTCGGTATTGGTCTACATCTTATCGAGTCGCTACACTAATCCCATCCAGTGTTGCACACAGAACCTTGCCTGGGTGTTAAGGCTTCAAGTTTGTTAAGCGTGCATGAATCTTCAAGATTGGGGCAAACTAGATAATACTCCATAATTTGTAATTGTTCGTATTGGCAGTTGGGGTCATCATCGGTGGTATATCCCTATTTCTGAAGGTTGGCTATACAGCGACCAACAACTGTTTGGAAGCGATTCAGGCAGGACTAGAAGAACCAACACGATATTGGTTAAAACATATTTAATTCCCTATCAGTTGTAAATTCAATCCTTGGGTTTGGTAGTGTTGTTTCAGTAGAAAGATTTGGGAGCACTAAATGATATGAAATATACTCCAAGCGTGGAAAACAGAGTGAGAACAATCTGCTCTATAGACTGAATAAATGGTTCGGTTCGAAATTCCAATAAGGTTACTGTGTACGACATCAGACACCTGAAGAAGGCCAGAGGGTAAAAAGGCAGAAACGCTGTCAGTATAACAAATGAGCATGTGTTCGAATAGCAAAGTAAATATTAGTGCCATATAATTTAATTGACGGGAATTCTCGTCATACGCAGTTAATGAGTTAATTAGTATAATAATGATGAGGAAAATAAGAAATTAGTCACTATTCTATTGATCAACCAGATATCGGAATGAAAGCGTGGTCGTAAGTCCCGTCTATCCCGTGATGCTTTTGCTTTTAAGCTTTTATGAATGTTGCATAACAGATAGAAATGTGACTTTTGCTTATCGTCTGTTTTTAATAAGTTGTCAGATGTTGCTAATTTTTAATTTGTCTTTTACATTCATTTGGTGAAGGTGACATATCGAAGGAGACGTATTGCCTCCCCCCAACCACATCTGATTTTCTTTCTTTCCTTTTTTTTTTTCTCTCCCGACGGGTGCGATTTTTCAAAGAAAAAACATAAGAGGAAGAGGAGAAAAATGAGAAAGAGGTAGGCGAATATACAAGAGGAGGAGCAGGAAGAAGCAGAAAAGAAATATTTTAAAAAGTAGATGAATGGGAGAAGAAATTTGTTGAAGACAAAGAAAAGGAAAGACAAAAACAAAAAAAGAAAACAATTATATGTAGGCGGAAAAATAAGAGGGTGGAAGAAACAGAAAAATAATGCCTTCCTCTTTCAAACGGAATTATTACCAAGCAATAATCAAAATGACACGCCCCCGACTGCATTAATTTTGAGTAAGAACCTCCCTAGACAAGAGGAGAAAGTAAAGATGACTTGAAGATGCCAAACAAGAGATATATACTAAGCGTAAATTAGTACGGCACAAGGTCGTAATTTTGCGACAGCAAGAAAGATGGAACTCACAGCAAATGTCAGCGTTTCCGAGTACTGCTTGCAAACCATTGTTCCATGAGGAGGCGTCTCCAAATGGAGTTTATTTTTGTTTACTTTCAACAAAATAGTAGTAATGTATTTTTATTTTTCCTTGACTTTCTCTTAATTCATCTCTTGTTTTGAACAGTTCCTTTTTAATAATTTACAGAGAAAAAAAGGAAAAAAAAAAAAAAACGAAATTTAATTTTTTTTTCTTTTATCATTGTCGACTGTTCTTTGGTTCTTACGTCCATAACTTCTTTTCCTTACTATTCGATCCGATATAAAATTATTTTAATAAAATGATCAATAACGAACTGTGCAGAGGAAGAAACCGACGTACATCCAATTAAATTTACTGAACAGTAGCAGCAGCAGTAAGAGAAGCAGCAGCAGTAACAGCAACAGTAAAAGTATCTTGGAAATTTACCATTGTCCAAAGACAAAACTTCTACATCGCTCTCTTTTATTTGGATATCCTCCACCCGTTTCCATCACCTATGGAAACCCGCCGGTTAATATCTTCGAATATCTATATACATTTTTTAAACGCTTTAGCCTCTAGTATACCATACAAAAACAATCCACTATACTTCTAAAATCGACAGAAGA